AGCAGGAAGGTATTAGGATGCAACCTTGTTCTTAATTTCTAAACAATAAGGAGCTGTTTTGGGTTGGTTTTTTTTCTCCAGCGAGTTGCAAAATGTGATGCCAAAGCATATGAAAGTCCTCAGGGGCAGATCATAGATGTTGCACACCAATGCAGGCTCCCAGGTATGTCAGAGGTACTGTGAATTTTAAAAGTTCTGCAGTTTTCAATGTTTGGGGGTTTTTTTGCAATTAAAAAAAAAGACAAAATAAAATTTCAATACATTAAATTAGATAAAGTAATTCTTCTGGGACCAAAAAAGCACTACCTCTTAATGAAATACTAGCAGAGATTTTTTTCTTTCCTACAAGTATTTAATTTACAGCTGCAAGTTACATTATATCATTTGTTTACTGCCCTATTACTATGAGATGAAGCTGGTTACTGCCTCTCATTTGCAAATTAACAGATACAAACTCAAAGAGTGTAACTGTCCTACAAAAATTATTTCCTTTTCCACCACAATGACAAGCAAGTTAATTTCACGTCATTTAAATAAGTAACTTCTAATTTTCCCAAGAGCTCCAGCATATTCTTTTGAAGAGCAAAGGAGCTGAGGACTTTAAGATTTTGTCTGAAATTGGTAATTCACCTATTGATATTATCTTTTTTCATATGGCACAGCTATAATTAAATCTGATATGTTAGAGGGTGGTTTTTTTTCCCTAGTAAATAAATTGCTTAGAATTTATAAGTTCATTACAATCTTATTCATTTTATTAATTTTTCCTTCACCCATCTATTTGGCCGCAGATTACCACACCTCCAGAGGTTTATAAAAGAGTACAGTACTACTCTATGCAATAAGTGCTGCATTCTTACCCACTCAGACCTGTTTTTCTTCAATAAATGATAATTATACTCTTCAACACACGCATTCACTGCCCATGACACGCACCTCTTGTTTCACCTGTTTCAGGTCCTTCAAGATGTGTGGATGTTCCTTCTCTTTATTTGCTAGCTACCCCCAGTTGGTACACAAAATTCTTGTTTCTATGAGAAAACTGTTGTTAGTTGTCCAACGTGACACCAGGTGCTGATGCAATGCTCTTTTAGGCAACCAAGATATGATAATGCTGACCACATAAAACTCCAAGATATTTTTGTTTTATTTGATAGACCCAAATACAAAGAGTTTCAGAAGAGAGGGGTTTATAACTGACTATAACCTTGAATATTTTACTCTTAGATCTAAAATTTTGGTTTCTTTCAGTAATTCCAGGCAGGCACACTGGTTGTTCAAAGATTATTCCAAGAGACAGTCCAGAACTGAAGGAACTGCTGAAGCTTGCTATGGAGAAGTATAATACAGAAAATGATGATGACTTCTACTATAAAGCTGGAAAAATAGGAAGAGCAACAGTTCAGGTTGGGATACACCATAGTAATGAGGAACAGACATGGGACTGTTACGGGTCTGAGCTGAATGTTAGCTGAAGGTTCTATTTAGAGTCAAGTAAAGTTTTTTTCTCAGTATTGATACATATGGTAACTGAAGTATCCCTGCAATTTTTCTTGCAAAATTTTATCCATCTTGCCTTGAATTCAGAAGTTTTTTTAAAATCTCCCATCTCTTGATTTTGTATTTTTTCTTAAAACATTATTTTAAAAGCATGGGAAAAAGGTTGACTTAGGGATTTGATTTCTGTATATCTACCCCACTTTTTACTAACCTTTGTAATATTCCTTAGACTTTTAAAGTAGAAAAGTAGGAATTACCCACTTGATTCACCACACAAATACTTTATGTCATTTTAAGCACTGTCCACCCTACTGTAGCTGTATGCACAAAGAAACCGGGCTTCCCAATTTCCCTAAGAAATCTGTTAATTTATATACTGATTCTGCTACTAACAATACTGCAGCTAGATTCACAGAAGAACATCTGTGCATAAGTTAAGATAGAGATAAATACAATACAGAAGAAGAACATGGGCTCAAGATGATCATATTGGTCAGCGTTTTCATCTGCCGTGTTTCCTGTCCCATTGTACTGAACCAGAGGCTTAGGACAGAATTGAAAATAAGACAGTGGAGTAGTTCAGAAAATACTTTGTCAGCAACTTCTGAGCTTGAGGGGTACCACTGGAGAAGGCACTAAAAGCACATAAGAGTTTTTCTGAATAGCTCATGTTATCTTACTAATAAAATCTTTTTCTTATTTTAAGCCTTTTTTCTTCTAACATTTTTTTTTCTCACTTTTCAGATCATGATTGATATTAGCATGCATACATTTAAAAAATAGATTTAAAAAAAGACAGAATTTCATGTTTTGCCTGCTGTGTCTGAAGAAAGATATAGTATCTTGGGCTCTGTGAAAGATACTAGGAGAAGTTGTACCAGGCACATTCTTGAACTCACGCAGTTTCTCTCCTTAATGCATTTGGCAAATATGTTCTTTTTCAACTGAGCCTGTTTCTCACATGCTTCGTTTTACTCACATTCCACTTTTCTTACATCACGTTTGGCTCTCTACAGCAGTGTCTCTAATGATTTCATTTGTTATTAATGGAATTACTACAGGCATGCAATATAACAAAGCCAAAACCACGGGCCTGATATTCCTCTGACCTTTCTGTTTCCTTCAATTTCAATGCTGGAATTTTTGAGAATGGGAACTGGAGTAAGTAAAAGTCAGTTGATTAGAAGCAGATAGATCTGTTGCCAAGTATTTTAATACTGTTCTTAACGTATGTTATCCCAGTGGTCAGGACTTGTGGAATACAAGTAGTATAAACTTGTAGAAAAACATCCTTCTTTTGATCACTTTTCAATAAAATGCCTTTACCATAGAAAGCCTTGTTGCTAATCTTCCAGGTGGCTGCAGAAAAAAAGTATAATCTAGAACTTGCAGTCCGTAAGACAAACTGCTCAAAGCAAGAGTTTGAAAAACTACATGAAGACTGTGAAGCCACAGCAGACAGTGTAAGTAATGACCATGTTGCCAACCATAATCTTCCTAGCAGACAAATTCATTTGCACCAGAAACTATAAACAGTTAAGTAAAATCACATCCTGAGTTCTGTTACCTCTTCAGTAAACTTCTGTTTCAAAAAGGAGGACACCTTTGACTGTTTGTAATCCAAGCCAGTGACAAGAGCAGTAAAATATGAAGCCTAAACTGAATCACTCCAACTGCAGGATCAGTGTACAAAGGAGGATGCTTCTGGAGTGCATGCTGCTGAGAGCAGGAAAACGTATTCCAGACACTGGAAAGTATTGCTGATAGGGCCAGAAACCATTGGCAAGGAAGCTGGTCGAGAAAGAAAGCCTTCATTTCCCCTCTCTTTTCCCACCATATGAACAGTGCTCACCTGTGAGATTTTAATATTTGCTAGCACAGCAGGCATCAAACAGAAAAAAAATAATTACTTTCTCTCTGTCTCAGTCTCCCAATTTTTAGTTGGAGAAATACCATCAACAAACAATATTTGACAAGAATATAATGAAGATTAAATAGTACTCTAAAGATGCTAGAGATGAAAAATCCAATTTTTCAAGATCTAATCTCTGATTCAAAATTGAACTAAAGTATTCACATAGGCATGCCATCTCAAAAACCCAAGCAGTGAAGTGATCTGTCCCAATACAGAAGTCTCCATAACTGAGAAGATGGAGATAGTAAAGTTACAAGTATATTTGTATTTTAAAATATTATTCAATTTTTTTTCATGCACTCTCTTCCTTTTTGTCTGATGATTTGTTGCCTTAAATGTGTTAATTTCTGCTTTGTCAACAGGTATCATTGCCATGTGAAGCACAAATTCATGTAGACCTAAGGGGGAATACAATCTTTTCCCAGATTAACTGCTCTGTAAAACTGACACCGGTATGATTCCTCTCCATTACCCATCATTATAAGTAGAACACAGAACAAATGTAGTCATTAAATTCTTTATCCATTCCTAATAAGCCCATATTTCATTTTACCTCAGTAATTTCACCCTCCTTCCTCTAACCTCAGCAACTTCTTACACTGAAGTCAGTTTCAGCACAAGGTAAGACCATGGACAACACAGTGATGCAGAAACACAAAGGCACCAGGACAGAGAGAACATTCTGCCTGTTGACTACTCCTCTGCATTATCAGTTAAGCTCTGAATTATCAAGCCACATCAGCTTATTTGAATTACTATTCAGACTAGGTTTAAAAATTGAGACAAAAATGTATTTGCCAATGCAGTAATTATACCCCCCAAATTTCAAAAACATATGTCAATCTTTTCATATTTAGTAGAGTAGCAGATCTGCCATGAGTTGTCAGTCTCTGCGGGAAGATCTGTTTCCTTCCTGCCCAGCTCCACTATTAACTAGCATGAACATGAGTCAGTTTGAAAATTTCAGTATGGAATATCCTTTTTGAAAATCCTTTTTGTTGTCAGAACATTTTTAGTTCTGATGATTGCAGTTTTTTTAACAAATGCAGGGACTCCCATGCTCCATGAGGAGAAAGAGAAGATGCACTGAAGAAAATGAGAATGATTAACCTGCATTCATAATCAATAACTTCCCAGTGCTCAGCACCTTCATAACTACTTAATCATTCATTATCAACCATTAAATGTCTCTCCTTATTGTCTTCACTACAATATTGTATTCACATAAACTTTCAAATTAGCTCCATCCCAAACAACTCTAAATTACAGTGAGATAATGATAAGACTCTTTGAAGGACAGAAATGAAATCCATGTTGGATAGTGACTGTACTCCATGCATTCAGTTCTCGTCTTCCAGTTGAACAGTGATGGGGGACAAAAGAATATTATTTCATATTATCAGCTTTAACTTATGTGTGTTATTTCTAAGCAGTCTTATAAAATGCATATGCCAAATCTAGAAAGTTGAAAAGTTACATTTCGTATAACAAAACAATGCAGATCTTTTCTATGTTCTGATAGCAAGACTCCCCAGCAACGTATGAGCCTTTAGCATAAATTGGCTTCATATATCAAAATGTTTTACTCCGACAAGCACAGGGATGTTTCATGCTAGAAATCAACTGTATTGTTCATAATTTAAAAACAGTACATGTTTTCTTCTCTATAGTATCATTCCCATGATAAACTGGCAGAATTTCAATGATATGTAAATACTTCTTTTAACATATAAATGCTAAAATACTCTGCAGTTATGTGGAGGCTATTTATGCTTCCATACTTACCACAGACAGAAAATAATTATTTCATTTACTTTAAAAATCTGATAACATATTTTTGCTAAATGACTCATGTAGTACAATGACCCAACTTCTGGATTTCCCAAATCTTAATCTATTGTTCTTGTTCATGTAACAAATATGGCTATTATTGCAATGTTTTTTAGAATGTTCTTCTGAGAAGACCTCCTGGATTCACACCTTTCCGAAGCTTCCCTGCACAAGATAAGTCAAATGAAATTTTATGCTCTGATAAAAATGAGGAAGAAAGCCAAACACCTGGTGAAGAAACAAGAAAAGATGATGGAGAGAAAACAAATGAAGGTGAACTTAAGCATAAACACAGGCATAAACTTGGGTATAAACATAGGCATGGATATAAAAAAGATCATGAGTTGACAAGAAACCTGGGCATGAAATTAGTTGTGGGCACAGAACTGGCCACGGGTGTGGGCATAAAAAACACAGTAAATATGGTCAGAAATAAAATGAAAGAGTTTTTAATCAAAACAAAACTGTCATCATCTAGTGCTGAAACAGCATCAGAGCTGGTTAATTCTGGGGTTGCAAGAAAGGAAACCAGTACACCTGCAGAACCACTAATTCTTCCTGATACTTCTTTATTTAAGGATTGCCAGATGGCCCAGAATCTCCTCTCCCCAGATGTCCTGGAAAACCATGGAAACAAATGATGGACCTTCCAGCTCCTAGCTTTCCCAGAGAATTCACAAATGAAGATCTCTTGCCTTCTGCAGAAAACAACAATCCAGGAACAGAAAACTCAACTCCTCCCCAAAATGAAGAGAAAGATCTTGATCTCTCAGATGCTTTATAATAATTCAAACATTGTAGGATCCTTTTCAGAAGTTATCCATAGGAAAGTAAGAAAAATACTGCCTATTGAAATTTATAAAATATGAAGAAGCAAAAGATGCTATTCTGTTAGCTAAGGTACTCTAGAATGTCATGAGCGCTCATGCAGACCTTAAGATCATACATCAGTACTCTGTATTTACATATATTTGCATAGATATAAATCAGGCAATGGCACCAGTGATTTGGAATCAGTCTAGTAAAGAGACTGCTGCAGAAGTTAAAATTCTATCTCATCTGCCTCAAGTTGCTATAAGCACAAAGTGAATCACTACAACAAATCTCACTGTATGAAGTTTAAGAAAATGGCATAAAGAATTTTGTGGATGACATGAAGAACCTTAACCAAATATGGGTAAGACAGAAGCAAACTTAGAACCTAGAGCAAGGATTCCTTTCTTATATGTCTGAAATAGTATTTCTCTAATTTACTGAAGTGAATCTTTTAAAGAACAAAATAAAGGAACCAAATTTACCTGACAATCTCTTTAAGCAAATTAATATTGCCACTGTTGTTCTGTTCTGTTGAATGAGATAACAGGGAGATAACAGGGAGAGCTGAGAAAATCCTAATTAAAGCAGCTTTATTATTCCCTATGAGTATTATGTTAACTACACAGTAGAGGCATTATGATTGACAAATTTTCATGTGGCAGAGGTGCACAAACACTACAGATCTGATGACAAAATTGCAAACATTTGAGTTACTTAGAAATTGCCTGCCTTCTTCCGTTATCAGGTTGTGCATAATTTAGAGACTGGATTGACTTTTCTATTCTAGGTATCTATCAAAGGTTGAGTTTTGGTGAGATACATGAGCTAAAAAGCACCCAATACTTCTAGCAAATTAAAATGTGAATGGGATGGAGAAGTGACATGGTGGAGGTAGCATGGCCAAGGAGCAAAAAAGGACAGAAACTGGAGATGAGAAGTAGGATAAAAATAAGAAGCAAGAGACCTGTGCAGGAGAGTCCCTCCCATCATGACAAGACAGTCCCCTACACATCACAGAACTAGACTCATACTTCCTGAATCTAAATATTCCCTGACAGTGCAGCACACTTCCCCTCTCCAGTGCCTGGTTCCTACAGATGTAAACAACCTTCTGTGTTCAGTTACTTTCCCAGCTGACATGGTAGATGTCCACACTGTGATCAAACAAACTCAGAACTGCTGATAAACCATGTTCAGGGAGAATCACTATTACTTTGTGCAATTTCTTTTTCTTTACTTTTACTAATTGCATTAAAAGCTACGTTAAAATGATATTTTAAAAGTCACATAGTCCAAAATTAGCACGTATCAAGCACTAAACTTGCAAAGCTGGGCAAATTAAAGCCTTGAGAGTCATCTGTAGCTCTTTGCTTCTTTTCTTTTTTTCTGAATATTGACTGGTATGATTTTGACTACAACTGGTAATTCTTTGTGTATGCTGTGTTATTAAAAGGAGCATAAGATAATTTTTTCTTTAAATTATTGTTGAGTAGTTGATGCAAAATTACAATAAAAGAAATAAAGAAGAGAAAAACAAGGTTTTCTTCCTATCTCCCATTTCCCTCATCTGAATGAAAAGACAGTGAAACTCTTGACAGATTCTTCCTACAGAGCACATACACATGACCACAAGTAGTGAGACATTACTCTGAGTGGTTAGAGCAGGGTAAAAATAATTTAAAAGAATCCTAGATTCTTGTTTGCCTTGAATTTACCATGTGCTGTAGTGACGACATGAGGTATCATTAATGTTTAATACAAAAATGACAAAATCAATGTTGTGTTTTTGTTTTTATAAGATATAAAAAGAATTATTAAAAAAATATATTATTATGAAATAGAAGTATTCCAGTCTACAAATTTTGAAACAGAATGTTCTGACATTTTTATAATGGAACATTTCAATTACTTATTGACGTGTTCTGACAGGAAGTTTTAACTATAGCAAAACAGCACTTTCTGATGGAAAAAAATATATGCTGTCAGAGAAGTACTGCCCTGACCTGTTTCAGATCTGCTGCTGAAGAGCTCTGCAAAACCCTGTTTCTCCTACTGCAGCAATCACACTGCAGCGCTCGGCGGTGCTTAACAAGCATTCCTTGGCCTGCAGGTGGCAGATTTCTTGCCACAGAGGTTTTATTATCTCCAAATCGGACCGCTGTGATAGCCCGGAAAGGTTTACTAGGCCTAACATTCAGTGTTTCATCTGGGTTAGTATAACATTGTAGATAAAAACATCACATCGGTGCAATTTGTTTTAAATATTAGGCTCTGGCAATAGAGCATAAAAAGTTTGTCAGTGACTTATTATAAGCAAAGTGTATAAATAATGCTCTAAGTGTAATTTAATGACCATAAAAAATAACAGCTAGTCCTGTGCCAGAAAAATCGCATCCTTAATGATACTATTATTTGGAACTAGGAGGCTGAGGTACGAAAATATGTCCAAATTAAACTTCTGTTCACATTTTTGCTGAGATTCAGAGCCACCTGATGGCCATTCTGCAGCTGCCTGGATTTAATGTGCTCTCTCTTTTGTTCCTTCCATCTGTGACAATGACACAAAATATGTGTTTTAACTGACATACGAAAAATTCCTCAGCTTGATTACGGGTGGCCTATTGGATTTTTGCTCTACTTCAGACGTGACCTTTCAATCACAGTCTGCAATTCCAATCATCCTTTAATGCTGTGTTCACACAGTGTAACCAGCCATTGGAGATGTGCAGGTGCTTGACAACAGAAAATGGGGAGAATTAATGATTAACACTGCCATTTGATAAGATGTAAGAACCCATTTCTTTCCTTGTTTTCTCAGGTCTCTCAGCCAGCAAGATAATACCTCCCAATTTAGGCATATCAGCTCAGAGGATAAAATGGGTCTAAGTGGCTACAGAATTAGAAATAACAATGCTGCATGGCCATTTTCATATACACAGAACTGTACCAAATCTGGTGTACAAATTCCTCAAATATTCTTAAAAAAAATAATAGGGGGGGGGATTGATGTTTTCAGTTCTGTGACCAGCTACTCACAGGCACCTCCTAATTCTGCTGTGTTTACAAAACCACATTAGCATAATTCAGCTTCCATAGTTTTAATTAAGCTGTAAGTAACGTTCATTTGGTAAAGTGTAAGTAATGCCAATGTTTCTACTGCATTCTAAAATAAGAGGAAGGCTGCTTTAAGGAGGAAAGAGGGAAGGTTTTCCTAATTGGGTAAGGCATCCTCTACAATGAATACTAGTATTACTGCTATTCCTGAACTTGTTTCAATCTGCTGCTCAGTGAAAACCCAAAGAGAAGCTCCAAAGGGGTAGCTCCTATCAGTATAGAGTAACAGGGACTGTAAACCTGACAGTGATGCCATGAATACCAATAGTGCTGATCCATGAGTTGAAGATCAGCCTTCAAACTACTGTTTTCACACAGCAAACTACTTACCTTGCTGTTTCAGTTTTGAGTCACAGAGAATCAGAATTCCACATAGAATCCAGAGTCATGCCAAAGAAACAAATCTGTTTTAAAACTGAAGATTCTGAACCCAAAATCTCTTTTATGAGAAGTCACTGTACTGATTCAGTGGGCAGCTTGTCATCTTCCACTGGATGTGCTTATAACAGGAGCCCTAATAGACCTCTTGGCTCAAAATGAAAAAGTAACTGTGTGAGCAAAAACAAGGCAGTGAATAGACAAAGCTGATTAAGGTAGGGGTGAATGAGGATGCACCTTTTATACCAAAAGGATGTATTTTAAACTGAAACTTAAGATTACTATAAAAAACCTCAAAGTTGGAGTAGATAGCAGTGGAGGAGTATTGATTTCAAGGGGGGAACAAATGCTCACTGACAGAATGGGGGGAGCTATGTTTAAAGACTTTGACCAACATGCCCAAAACACTACAGTTCAGTAACTTGAAAAAGCCACCAGGCACATGTGAACAAATTTAAACAATGAAGGAACATAGAATCATAGAATCTTAGGAGTTGGAAGGGACCTTGAAAGATCATCTAGTCCAACCCCCCTGCCAGAGCAGGGTCACCTAGAGTACATCACACATATTGTTTTATTTCATATTCTAACCCTTGCATGTCAGCAGAAGTTAAATCCTTACCATTCAATCCAATAGAAACGAGATTTATGCCATAAAATGTCACAGAGAAGTAAATTTATTACAGCTGAATTTTCTTCAGTCATACGAGCCAGCTGTTCTACTAGCTGCATAGTAACTAAGAGTAGTATTTCTATGAAAATTAATAAAAAATCAAGGGATATAATGAGACCCACCTCAACTTCCCAGGAATCATTCAAGTATTGGTGATATACTTTGTTAAAAATAAATGAATTTTAAAAAATCAGTTCCAGAAGCTGTCTAGAATTCAGATTTAAGGAGCTGTGTGACTGCTAAACTAAATTCTCTTGTTTGAGGACAAAAGCCTGATTTTAAATTGTGCTGAGAAGCCTGTGCTGCCATTAACTTTAAATAGCATTGCAGGTACTCAGCATTTCTATCAGGCCTTAGAACACCCAGCCAAAGCCTGTGGTGTAGAAAATTGATACCACTTGGAAGAGCTTGAGATGGACATTGAGCAGTGAAACACCTCCCTGCAAGCAGAAAAAGGTAATCATGGGCAGTATTAACCTTCAAAATAGCTCTTATATTTTGAGATGTTTTGGGAATTGCTGCAGGTCCTGGCATTAGCCACAGCAGCAGTTTAATAGCTTTTTTTCCTGCCCCAAACACAGAAATTGGAGTGTTGAGCAATGTTTTGTTACATGTCCTTATTCTCTTGCCCTCTCCCACAATATAAGCCAAATGGAAGCAGCAACAAACACAAGCACAAACTACAAAACCACCTCTTTCTTCAGAGTTCTGTACAAAGGTATGGTCAGGTTAGCAGATTTACAAGCAACTCCTCTGCTTAGTTCAGCTTCAGATTAAGTTACTTTTCTATCATAAAACAACCA